GAAAGCCATTGGTATGGCTTCATCAATCATTGACAATACATTTACATCATGGATTGTCGTCTTAATCTTCTCCTTCTTGCCTTTTTGTGGACATATTTAGCTTCCACTTTTGATTAGATGCTTATAAAAAAACTGTCCTTTTAAGTCTTTAAGTTTGTTTGACAAAGACTCTACAATGAGTCTTTTATCCAAAAAAAATATAAAATAACAAAAAAAGTAAGAACGGGAATAAAATGAGTCTCTCAATAGAAAGACTTTGAGAATCTTGTGAGAGACTCATTTGACACATATCTCAACATAATTGGTTATGAGTTTGATTTATAGTTTAAATTTTAAATACAAAAGAAATCTACTTAAAAATTATTAAAATAATATATTTGAGAGACTAAAAGGGGTTCTCCCCACCGCACATGATCTTATGTTCTTGGACCGCATTGACCGGCACGTTAAGACTGTGAACTAAATATATGTCTGTACAATCTCCACAAAGTCCATCGAATAACGGGCCGGCCCGCGGACTTACAATGCATAATTTTTAACGAAAGTTTATTTTTGTTGTTATTATTTTAACTTATTAACTAGATTTTAACCCGCGATACACCGCAAGATGATTTAATTTTAAAGTTAGTATAAAAATATTTTGTAAATTGTATCTCCTTATAACATATTTATTTATATTATAGTTTACAATTGTTATTAAGTAACGGTATATCACGAGTCCACAAAACAATTTTTAATAAACTAAGGATTTAACTCGTACTAAAGCGGTATATAAATATTGATTCAAATTCGTTCGCCATATAAATCCTTTCCAAAATATAACCCGTTCCATAATTTCTTAACCCGTCCCGTGATTTGTTTTTATTTTAAAATTTAATGATTATTTATTATATATAAAAGTTTACAAATCATATCATTCTCTAAGATATTTATATTTTAATAAACTAAAAATTTAATATGTATTAAAGCGGCATGTTAATGATATTTTAAAATTTTATAAATATTGTTATTAAGTAACACTAGGTTATGAACCCCGCGATGTCGCGGGGGAACTCATTTTCAACAAATATATTTGATTTTGTTTATGTATTAAATTATTATGATAATATATTCAAATATATGAATTATTATATAAAATTAACTATGTTTTAAAGTTATATCATAAATATTTTCCAAAGATGTTAAAACAATTTATGAATAAAAATACAAAAAGAAGAATGATGATTAAAAACACATTTGAAATATTTTTTATGATTGTAAATTATTTATAAGTGAAAAAATACATAACGAAGAGTTATAATATAGAGATGAAAAATTATAGCAGGTCAAAACTCAAAAATTCGGATGGAGTTAGTACTCAGAATGACTTGTGGATGACTAAGAACTTCGCCAGAGAATTGGTATTTTTTTTATTGCCCACTGTTCTTTAAATATAAAGTTAATATTTATTTTATTATATATATTAGAGAAAATATAAAATTTGATGACGTAAATTACATCTATAACAAAAAAATAAATATTTACAAGATCTCATAAATTTGTATTTATATTGATAAATTAGCTGACTAAAAAACTTCTTCCTTGAATAACATTTGACGAATTGGAAGCATTGTTTTTTTCCTAATAATGTAAAAGATTTCTGGATTACCATACCATTTGAAACAGTTCATTTGACGCTTACCAAATTTAAAACGCCCAATCACAAGATCTCATATTCGGACTTTGTATTAGTGTTAACGCAACATCAATATTTCTTTTTATATAACCCATATATATTGCCTTAAAATAGAAAACATCATTGTTACTATATAAAGTAGTTAAATAAAAAAATTCACTATATAATCCGTCCAATTGTTGGTACTTCATTAGAATGTTATATGTAAAGTCGATTAAAACTTCTCCATTTTTATAATCATTCCAAAAAAACTTAAGTTAGATCAAGAATGTGAAGAATTTCTTTAATATTAAAATAATGTATGTTTAGAAATAGTTTAGAGAATAAAGAATTTGGAGTCATTTTACATATTATTTTTTTAAAATTCATCATAAAATAAATAATCTATGTTAAAGATCAAAAATTTGGGAACTACTTAGGAAGAAGGAAAAATATATAGAGTTCAAAAGTCATGAAAATTTAAATAGACAACTATTCATACAAAAAGTTGTGATGAAAAAATACAATGAAATATAGTGAAGAGACGTATTTAAATGAATAGATGCAACTATAAAGACACAACCGTAAACTGAAAAAATACGATTATAATTGACCAAATAGAACTATCCCAAAAAAATAACTGTCAATATTTTAACAAAAATATGCGATAAAAAGTTACAACTTAGAAAAAATAACTGTAAATATTTTAACGGAAATTTACGATAAAAAAAAAACACAGACGAAAAAAATAACCGTTAATATTTTCACAAAAAGTTACGATAAAAAGACACAAAAAAAAAAATAACCATCAATAAAAAATATAACCGTCAATATTTTAACAAAGAATTGCGATAAAAAGACACAACCGAGAAAAAATAACCGTCAATATTTTAACGGAAGGTTGCGATAAAAAAGATACAGCCGAAAAAATAACCGTCAACGAAAAAAGTAACTATCAATATTTTAACGGAAAATTGCGATAAAAGACCAAAACATAAAAAGTAACCGTTAATTTTTAACGGAAAGTTGCAATAAAAAGACATAGCTGAAAAAATAACCGTCAACGAAAAAAGTAACCGTCATTATTTTCACGAAGAGTTGCGATATAAAGACACAATCGAGAAAAAATAACTGCCAATATTGTATCGGAAAGTTGCGATAAAAAAACACCACAAAAAATAACCATCAACAAAAAAGTAACCGTCAATAATTTAACGAAGTGTTGCGATAAAAAACACAACTGCAAAAATAACGGTCAATATTTTAACGGAAAGTGAAGATAAAAAGACACAACCGAAAAAGTATTCGTCAACGAAAAAAGTAACCGTCAATATTTTAACAAAGAGTTGCGATAAAAAGATACAACTAAGAAAAAATAACCTTCAATATTTTAACAAAGGGTTGCAATAAAAGGACACAACCGAGAAAAAATAACCGTCAATATTTTAAAGAAGAGTTGCGATAAAAGATACAACTGAGAAAAAATAGCTTTCAATATTTTAACAGAAAGTTGCGATAAAAAGATATGGCCGAAAAAAAAATAACCGTGGATATTTTTACCGAAAGTTGCGATAAAATACACAAACGAAAAAAGTAACATCAATATTTTAACGGAAAGTTACGATAAAAAGACACAACTGAGAAAAAATAATTGTCAATATTTTAGCGAAGAGTTGCAATAAAAAGACACAACTGAGAAAAAATAATTGTCAATATTTTAACAGAAAGTTACGATAAAAAGACACAACTGAGAAAATTAACCATCAATATTTTAACGAAAAATTGCGATAAAAGACAGAAACGAAAAAAGTAACCGCCAATATTTATCGGAAAGTTGCGATAAAAAAGACACAACTGAAAAATAACCGTAAACAAAAAAAGTAACTGTCAATATTTGTAACGAAGAGTTACGATAAAAAACCCAACCGAAAAAATAACCTCTAATATTTTAAAGAAAAGTTATGATAAAAAGACGCAACCGTTGAAATGTGCAAATGACATTTATTGAGATTGCTATTATATTTGTTTTCCCATGATATCACGTAAATGTTAAATGAATGATATAATTAAGGAGGTTATACTACTAAATATATCCATATGTAAACTATGAAATAAAACCAATTTTATATGTAGTTTATTGGTTTACGTAAGAAGAAATTCAATAAAACAACATGACCGTACAAAAATAACTGTAAGAAAAACAACCATAAATATTTAAACGAAAGATTGCAATAAAAAGACGCAACCGTTCAGATGTGCAAATGGTATTTATTGGAAACGACATAACCGTAAAAAAAATAACCGATTAAAACGAAAATTGCGATAAAAAGACGCAACCAAAATAACCGTAAAAAAATAACCGATTTAAACGAAATGTTGCGATAAAAAGACGCAACCGTTCAGATGTGCAAATGGTATTTATTAGATTGCTATTATATATAGATTATACCACGGGACAATTTTTGGTTTTATACAATCTTTTCTAAATAAGACTGATTTAATATGTCTAATATTTGTGGTATTACAAAAAAAAGGATTTAATCCGTATTGAAGCGGCGGATTAATGATATTTTAATCTTTTTATTATTGTTGATTCAAAAATCCGTCCCGCCAAACCCGTCCGGCCAAAAAACTCATTTATTTTATTAATGTTCTTATTTATGATATGATTCTGAATCATTGTCTAAATATTTTAATCGATGTAGAACGTTGAACACACATTTTCGTCAATTGGATAATATATGTCCGTTTTTAAAATTTCGAATTACAGTATATGGAGAAAAAAAATTGATTTTTTATTTTATTTTATGTATTATATGATGATTAAAAATAGTTAAAAACAAATCAAACAAAGATGATAGGAGAATCATAATTATAAATCATAATCAAATTTTCTAAATATCTAAATTATTAAATATGGAATATCTGGTATATGAGTTGAGTTAAATATAACCCGACCCAACAAATTTTTTTGTGAAGAATTTTTACCCATCTATCACTAAATTATGATATCCGATTAACCCACTGGCATTTTTACTCATCCGTCACCAAAGTGTTGCGAAAATACTAGTATAGATTAGAAAACGAAAAAAAAATGTGTATAGCTTAGTTAGAAATGTATGTAAATTATTAAAAGCTGACCCGGATCACTGCTGCGGAAACCTCCTAGTTAACAATAATTGAAAACCTCCTAGCATCATTTCGACCCTTGCAATAATATTGTGGTGACAAGCAACATTTCCGTATAGAAACCAACAAAAAAAAAAAGAAGAAAAACGAGCCGTGGAGGATTCTTCATTCTTCTTTAACCTCTTCTTTACTGATTAATTAGAACAAAAAAAAAAAAGAAAACGTCTGTACACAAAAAAAATAAAAATAAAATGGGAGAGAGAGAGGAAGTAAAACTATTGGGAGTATGGTACAGTCCATACGCCATAAGACCAAAGATCGCTCTTCGTCTCAAATCAATCGATTATGATTACGTTGAAGAAGATTTGTTTGGATCAAAGAGTGAGCTAGCTTCTTCTCAAATCGAACCCGGTGACACATCAACTTAGGTCAAACGAATCCAGTAACTACTTTTATGTCTTGGTTTACATCAGGTAATTACTTCCTATACTAACATAAGTTTATTCTGGTATTTATACATGCATGTTAGTTTATTCTTAATTAAATAGCATAAGCATGTTCTAACTCTTATCCATAAATTTAATTAAGAATCATCATGCTTAATCTGCCTATGAGGAGGCCCGGTCCTGTAATAGTTGTGGCCCAATGCAAAATAAAAAATTGGGGCCTCTACATATAAAATAATACTGTAAAATTTGCCAAAAACAAAAAATTTCCAAAAATTGGGGCCTCTATATAAAACATCCGGGCCTCTAAAATGCTTTCTTCTAACTAATTCATTTGTTGTCTTTAATAAACATTACAAAAAAAAAAAAAGTTAAAAATGGGCTTATATATGTTGAGGCCCCATACACATGTATCTCAAGAATGTGTAAAGGGCCGGGCCTGCCTATGAGGCTGACACTAAGACCACAATTGTTTATTTCCGTCTTCGTTTGCGTTTCTATGCTATAGTGAAGAGGATATTACAATATAGGGACGCGCGCAAAGCAAACGTAAATAAGCAATTGCAGCTTATATGTTATTCCTAAACTCCTGTTTTAAGAATGCAGTGGTTTCCGGCTTTGAGAGTGGCTGCGATCACCAAATCAGAAGACACAAAAGCGAAAGCCATGGAAGAAGTGGAAGAAGGATTGTTGCAACTCGAGGATGCGTTTGTTTCTCTAAGCAAAGGGAAACCCTTTTTTGGTGGTGAAGCAATCGGGTATATGGACATTTGCTTTGGAAGCTTGGTGGTTCTCTTGAAGGCTAGAGAGAAGTTTAAAGCAGAAAAGCTTTTAGACGAAACAAAAACTCATTCTCTTTGTAAATGGGCCGACCAGTTCTTATCCGATGAAACAGTGAAGAATGTGGTGCCGGAGATCGATAAAGTAGCTGAGTTTCTACAAGATCTTGAAGTTAGAGCTCAATCAGCAGCTTCAAGATCTTAAGATTCTCTTAGAAATGTATTGCAATGCGTACATGTAAAATGAAATAAGCTGAAGTTTGCTAGGATTTATATAATGATGCAATCTATGGACTATTTTCAGTTTATGTTTGTCGAAATTGTACGGGTCCTAGGAAAAATCTATTTTCTCCCTTTAATAGATACCTAAAATTACTATTCAAATTCTCACTAATTCACATTACCAAAAAACAAATCTCACTAATTCATGTAAAATGTCAAATTTGGGATAATTTTGGAATTTTTTTAATAATCTTTTCAAATATTGCTTTATATTTTTATAATTTTGTTTAAATATGAAGTTTTCTATTAGACCTTCGAACCGTCTCACCTCTCTTAACTAATATAAGCCGGCCTGGATAATGCTTTCATATCGAAAGTTAAACGACTTATCTTGACCACTAGTACTAATTTTTCTGTTTTACATTTTTAATTAGTCTACTAGAACTAAATTGTCTTCCATGGACCCTCTTCATTGCATCTGCTCCTGATAAGACAAAAGAATTAAATATCATTGAACCAATCAAAAATTTCTGGTCAGAGATCTAGTAGCGCAAATATATTTATTAACAAAAAAGCAACAATTATTAGAAGAAAATAAGAGTGAAATCGACAAAACACATAACTCAAAAAAGAAAGATATGAAAAATGAATAATTTAATATAAAAATAATAAATACCTTTTCTGAAAAAAGACAAGGTCCCAAAGACCCAGCTCAAGTCCAGCTCTCTTAATTCATTACCTCTCCACATTCACACCATCTTCAACATCTCTTTCTCTAACAATGGAGATTTTTCAGAAGGCGAAAGCGGTTCGTTTGCGTAGCCACCACGACAAGTACCTAGTCGCCGAAGAAGACGAAGAATCTGTAACTCAAGAACGTAACGGCTCAGCAGGTGCAGCCAAATGGACCGTTGAGATAATCCCAGGCTCAACAAATCTCATCCGTCTCAAAAGCGCTTACGGAAAATACTTAACGGCGTCTAATAAACCGTTTCTTCTTGGAGCCACCGGAAAAAAAGTTCTACAGACTAATCCTAGTCGTCTTGACTCGTCTTTAGCTTGGGAACCAATTAGAGACTCTGCTTTGGTTAAGCTTAAGACTCGTTATGGTCACTTCCTTCGTGGTAACGGTGGTTTACCTCCTTGGAGAAACTCTGTTACTCATGATATTCCTCATAGATCGGCGACTCAAGAATGGGTTCTTTGGCATGTTGATGTTGTTGAGATCCTCCCTGCAAACTGCAATCATCACCAGCAGCAACAGCAGCTGCAGCTGCAGCTACCTCCGTCGCCGCTTCATCATTCTGATTCTCTTGATTTCACACCTGGATCTCCTTCCAGATCTAACCGTTTCTTTAGACAAGAGGTGATCTTCTTTTGATCTAAATTGATAGAAAATGGTGTCATGCTTTAGGTCCATCTGAGAATCCGCTCAGTCGGCTACTACACGCATCGCGATTAGGCGGTTTTGGCATGGATTACATCTTGTTATCATGATTTTTTTTTACAAAGTTGATGATTCGTTGACTTGATGTTTTTATGTGGCAGTCAACGGATTCAGTGGCGGTTGGATCGCCGCCCAAATCGGAAGGGAGAGTGATATACTTCCATGTGGCGGATGATGATGGCGATGTTGAAGATGATTCTGTTGAGGTAAGTTCGTTTACTTTCAAAGGCAATGGTGTTGAAGAGCTGACTATGAGATTGAAAGAAGAGAGCAATGTCGAAGATGTTATCGTTTGTACTCGTAGTCCGTTGAACGGGAAGCTTTTCCCGTTGCGTCTTCAACTCCCACCTAACAATGCAGACATGACTGTCGTCTTAGTGCCAAAATCATCAAAAAGTGAGTTTCTTTTGGTCCTATTTTCAAGTCAAAATCGTTGCTTTGTCACTGACATTTGAAGTTGTTCTCTGTTTTTTATGTAACAGTAGCAGAAGAGTTTATCAAGTGAGATCTTTGTTTGAAGCTGAGCTGTGAAATGAAGGCTTTGGCTGCAATTGTTTTTTGTTAATTGAGCTAAGAATGGATTTGGATTGTCTTACAGATACTGCTTGATTACCAAACTTATGATTTATACAAAATTGGTTGCAGCGGTTAGTGATTCACGCTGCCTATACCATTCTTTCCCTTTTGTCCCACTCTAATGCTCAATCTCTTTCAATTACTGCGACTAGGTTTTAGCTACCAGTAGTCTAAACAAGAGCAGGATCCGTCTTTGAAATGATGGAACCGAACACGGTCTCTCACGATGATCTCAGTGTTGAAGACTTTTGATATCAGTTTAGTAACTTCATGGCAATCGCTGCAGACACGTAGATTCTTGAATATACGGATTGGAGTCTGAGGTGGTAAGCTTATCAGACCAAAAGCAATGGCAAGTCTCTCACTGTGTAGCCTGAGGGAATACTCTTTGCTACTGTCATTGGTGGCATCCACTAAAGGTGCTTAAGAGCGATCCGGTAAATAACCAATTGATCTTAGCCTGTCGTCGATCACTTTCAACTGTTGGTATATCTGTTTTGTTTGAGGGTGCGACGTGTCTCCTGCGAAAAACTCGTTGGAGATGCCATTTATCTCAATAGAACTGCATCCGGGCTCTTTTCTAATTCCATGGTCACTCATTAGTTTTCTGACGATTCCAACATCATTCCACCGGTTAGCTGATGCATAAACTCTAGACAACAGTACATATGCGCCACTGCAGTTACTATTGGAGCTTTGATTATCTTCCATTGTTCCGATAATATTTCTAGCAATTTCTTCACTTAGCTCCACACTAGCGCCTTTTTTGCAACAAGCATCAAGGAGACTTCTCCATATCACTGCATCTGGTTTCATCGGCATGCTCATCACCATGTCAATAGCTTCAGTAATGTAGCCTGCACGAGCAAGAAGGTCGATGATACAACCATAATGCTCCAACGCAGGTTCGATACCATATTCCCTGACCATCATGTCAAAATACTGGCGCCCTTTGTTTACCATGCCTCGGTGGTTGCAGGCAATGAGGAGGGCAACAAACGTGACTGAGTTTGGTTTAACATTCTTGCCTTCTTTCACCATACAGTCGAAGCAATTCATAGCTTCCTCAGCTTTTCCGTGTGTAGCAAACCCTAGAATCATTGCATTCCATGAAGCTAAGTCATGTTTTCGCATCCCCTGAAACACTTGCTCAGCCATTCTCAACGACCCGCATTTGCAATACATTTCAATCAACGAGTTTTTAATCAGAACATCCATAGCAACATCGACATCACAATTTCGCAACAGAAACACATGTGACCAAGTACCTAATGATAAAGATCCAAGACCAGCACACGCACTCAAAACACTCTGCATCGTATAACCATCTGGTTCAAACGATTTCTGCATATCTCTAAACAATTGTAACGCAGAATCATACTCCCCAACCCGAACCAGAGCATCAATCATCGAATTCCACGAAACAAGACTTCTCTCAGGCATTTCATCAAACACTTTCCGTGCTAAATCCAAACATCCACAAGATCCATAAAAATGAATCAAACCATTGTTAACATACACATCTCCACTAAACCCATGTTTGACAATCTGACAATGAACTTGTTTCCCTTCCGATAACCCGAATATATAAGCGCAAGCTTTCAAAACAAACGGAAACGTATGCTTATCCGGTGCCGATTCACCTCTCTCTAACATTTTCCGGTAAAGCATAAAGGCTTCTTCTTTCCTTGAAACATCATGAGCACATGCTCTTATAAGAGTGTTCCACATAAAGGAGCTATGGTTTTCAATGGAGTCGAAAACCCGAAACGCGTAATTGACGTCGGAGAAGGAGGAAGAAAGCTGGAGGATTTTGCCGTAGAGAAACAGAGTTGCGGGTTCATCAGGGTAAGTAGTACGGAGAGTGAAGGCGTGGAGTTGCTTGAGCTGAGACATGTCTGAACATGTTTCTGCTAAGGAGAGAATACGTCGGTGATGGTTACCGGCGGTGGAGGCTGAGGGAGAATTAGCCGGTTGGATATGAGGAGATAATGGGTGGAGCAGAAGACTGATAGACATTGGATGATAATAAGTTTAGTTGTTGTAGGGGAAATATTTTAAGTTTGAAATTCATCAAACACCAATGTTTGAAACCCCACCCACATGGCAAACCGGATTATATTTTGGGTCATCAGGTCATTCCATTAACTAGGTTTGACCGCAAATCAATTGATTTAAATTTATTTGATATATTTCTTTACATTATATAATTTTATAAATGTAAAAATAAAACTAATTATAATATATTTAACAAAATATAAAGTCTTAGTAACAATAATTAGCGATTAAATTTTCTAAATCCAACTAAAACTAAAAATACTAAGATAGTATAAAAGATCACGAATGATGAAAAAAAACAAAAAAAAAAAAACTAAATTTAGATGAGACGAGAAAATGTTAGAGATGACGAGAGAATTTTGCTTCGTAGTACTCGTCGTCCAGATAAGGCCTAGACAAAAAAAACCGGACGCGATATCTGAACCGATACCCGGTCCGAAAAAACCGGGTTGGAGCGAATTAGGGTATTCGGAAATTACCTTATTGGGTAGAGTATTGGTCAACCCGTGATATCGGTTCGGGTCGGGGATTACCCGTCACCCATATAGGATACCCATAAACCCAAAGCTGAAGACATGTGTTTATATACGTATATAGATATAGTCATATAGTCTTATATAGTGGTGGAATATGAGCTTATGAGAGGTATTTTTTCAGTCATCACCCATCTATCAACTTCCAACAAGGCTACAATCCTACTTCTATTTCTATCTAGTTCAATGTTTTTGATTTTAGATAATCGGATTTATGTTTTCATATTCATATTCGGGTTTCTCTACTCTTAACTCTTAAGTATTAATCATTGTGAATTTGGATTGGATTTATATGTCATGTTTATGTTCTATTATCTTTATTTGATGTTTTGTGCATGTAAAATAGTTTAAAATTTCGGGTAATGGAGACATATTTCGGGTTTATGGATAATTTACCTATTTAAACCCGAACCCAATGAGAACTCTAAATTTTTGGGTTTTTTTCAGTTCTCATACTTATTACCCAGACCGACCCGGAACCTGACGATACCCAAACTGGAGCGGAACTGAATATTTAGAAATACCCGAATGGGTCGTAAATTTATTACCCATTTAACACGAATCCGAACGGGTTACCCATATGCGTAGGCCTAGTCCAGATAGGCTTTCACGGCCTCTTTCAGCAACCAAATCTCTGGTACCTTGTACATTTTTCTTGACGGTTTTAAATGGTGCAGCTGATGAGCTTCGCGACGTAGAGAAGAGCAGGATTGCGGATTAGGAACTGTTTCCAGGAACCGCTAACAAATGTACTAGAACCTATGGTACTCTAAAATCTGTGTGGTTTTGAGTGAAAATATTTAGAATCAAGTAGGAAGGATAGAGATGAACATGGTGAATAATAGAGAGAAAGATGATTGATTGTAATGTGATAAAAGTTACAAATGATTTGTGGCTGCACACGGTTTATATAGGGAGCTTACTAGGTCTAGATGGGTATGCACATAACCTTAAAAGCATCCTCATTTAGCCTAGTGAGTCACCGTGTGCTTTTGCCACTTTACAGCTCATGACAACGGTCATAAGCAACACGACAAGCCATACACGCGCTTAGCCCCCATCCGGATAAGGATGGCTTCCTTCCCGCGTCCGTACGGTCCAATATGACCGTTGCCACTCTTTCTCTTATTTAAACTAGTTACTTGCGTAACAAGAAACCCATTTCATTCTTCTTGATCAATACTCCCCCTCAACTTTATACTACAATATTCATTGTTATAAACTTGACACTTATGCGAGTGACCTCATTAAAAACCTAAGATTGGAAAACCACGTGGGACAAAACCAATCTTAGGGAAAAAGAGTATCACTGACATAAGTAGGGAAGTTCTCTCAAGGATGTGTGAGGTCTACAAGTCCAAGTTTGCCATGGATAAATTTGCAAACTTGGGTACTGCTGCCTTGGTAAAGATATCGGCCAATTGGTCCGAACTCTCGGTGTAACAAGGTAAGATAGTACCATCTTCGATCTTCTCTCTAGTCTTGTGGCAGTCTATCTCCACATGCTTGGTTCTCTCGTGAAACACCGGGTTGTTGGCAATGTGAATGGCCGCTTGGTTATCGCAATGGAATGTGATGGGCGTCTTTTGTTCTATCCCAAAATCTTTAAGAAGCGCCTTTAACCATGTCAACTCATTTGTAAGCTTCTTCATAGCTCTATATTCCGCTTCAGCACTTGAACATGACACCACCTTTTGCTTCTTTGACTTCCAAGTCACTAAGTTTCCCCCAATGAAGGTGCAAAAGCCGGTTGTCGAGTGTCTATCATTACGATCTCCACCATAGTCCGCATCACAATACCCAACTACCTCCGTGCTTGAGTTCTTTCCCATCCAAATGCCTTGGCCGGGGCTCCCCTTGAGATACTTTAGAATCCTATCTACCATACTCCAATGGTACACCGTGGGCTCTTTCATGTGTTGACTCACTTGATTCACTGCAAAAGAGATATCAGGCCGAGTGTAAGTCAAATAGATTAGCTTACCCACAAGTCTTCTATATTGCTCCGGGCAATGATATGGTCTATCATCCTTCTCCCCCTTTCGATTGACCTTATATCCTGGCTCTAATGGTGTTGAAACCGGTTTGGCTCCAAGCTTTCCCGTAAGTTTTAGAAGGTCGAGTGTGTATTTCCTTTGTGAGAGAAATAGACCCTCCGGTGATATACACACTTCGATACCTAAAAAGTATTTCAACACACCAAGATCTTTAATGTCAAAAGCATTGTGTAAAGATGTTTTGATAGACTTGATACCTTCCTTGTTACTCCCCGAGATGATCAAGTCATCAACATAGATTAAGACAACTACAATGCCTTGATCATTTTGGAGCGTAAACAAGGTGTGATTGGATTCTGACTTCTTGAATCCATTAGCCTTTAACGTGGAGCTTAGCTTGTGGTACCAAGCTCTTGGGGATTGCTTTAGACCATATATAGCTTTGCGGAGTCTTAACACTTTTCCCGAAGCCACCAAGTTCTCTAAACCCGGAGGAGGAGTCATGTAGACT